CCTTATTGCTCTGGTGGGATCGAGGTTTCTGCTGCAGGTAGTGTTTGCTTACAGTCTGAAGCTCATGACAATAGACTGCCTTAGGCTCCACGTGCTTTCTCGAAGTTATTGGACCACGGAGAGAAGGAGGTGAAGTCAGCACAGCTGCCTGGGCCCAAAGCACGTCTGTGACTGATCTAAACAAACAAGGATTAGGACTCTGGTCTGCACCACAGACCAAACCCATAAAAGAGGGGAACTGAGCATCACTTACATCACGGGATGGTTATGCAGTACCATTTTGTAAGTTGTCTGGGAAGAGCATGTCCCACAGACACAACATGAGAGGGTCACAGAGTCATTTTCCATGATGTCTTATTAAATGGGAGCCAAAATATTATCAAATATCTGTTGTTTAGAATCAAGAGTGTGAGCATCCTGTTGGCAAATAAGCAAACAGATTTGAAATCAGTTAAGGCTCAGACACACCCAGACATAAATTCCTTAAGTAACAAAGTCCTTATGTTGTCTTTTGGGAAAAGCTCTCAGAATTCACTCAAGGACCGTTTGAAATAGGCTTTTCAAGAACAGACATGAAAAGAAGCAGCCAGCTCATAGGGTCAATGGCCTCTGGATATCACAAGTGCAAAGACCCCTCAATAGAGCATAACTCCCCTGAGACATGTGACCTGTGACAAGGCACAATGACCATCCACCCTATGCAAAACAAAATAAAACCTAAAACTGGGCTGCAGGTCTATCTCAGTAGCTCAGTGATAGAGCGCTTGCCTAGCCTGTGTGAGGGTCTGGGATCATCACCAGCACTGCAGTGAAAAAGAAAAAACACCTAAAACTTCTCCCTCTCATCATTCAACCAACAAGCAGCTTCTCCCCTCTTCCTTCCCATGAACTCCCCTGCTACCAACCATCAACAGATGGGAAAAGCTTTCTTTTTTAATTTCCTGTCCACTTGACAGTTAACCTTCAATAAAAAGTTTTTTCTTTTTTTAAAAATCAGGTGCCAGAGAATTGGCTTCTGTGTGAGCTGGGCATCAGCCCCCTGCTCAGTATCAGATTATGAGACCTACTAAAGCAATTGTTTTCCCAAATGGAGTAAATAGGGCCTGAAGTGTCATGATGTGAAGGATATGCTTCCTAAGGGTTTATACCCTTCATAAAACAACACCTAAAAAGGACCAGAAATTCTATTTTGAGAGAATTGAGTTGTGTGAGCCTTCAGAAGAACTGGGACATAGTACTAATTTGTTTTTATTTTTATGTGGTACCGGGGATAGAACCCAGTGCCTCACGCATGCTAGGCAATCACTGCACCGCTGAGCCACAACCCTGGCCCCATAACAGCATTTTTGCTAAAGCTAAGTTCACCCTGACACATTCTTGCAGTGGCCCTTCTGGGGACCAAACCTAATAGTGTGGACCTAGGACCCTGGTCTATGGCATAAGAATTCATGTCAATGCCCCTGTTTTTTTATTTTATTTTTTTAATCCATCAAATGGGAAGACTCCTGGCACCTTGTTGCCCAAGAAGTGGTAAGGAATAGCAAACAACAGTAATGAATGAGCCTGAAGGAAATTTGCAAATGTGCTGTCAAAATGCTCAGGACAAGGACAGATTTTCCTGGTCATGAGGTTTCCCCAAAGTTAGAGAGTAATTTGTGCAGCCTGTCAGTGCAGAACTGACTAGGGGGTTGGAGTCTTTGGTGGTCTCCCTGACTTCCCTGCATGCCTTTCTGAATGGTGTCACCATTTAGGATTGATTTATGGCTTTGGGATTGGCCAGCAGGCCCGTGCTGTGTAATGGCTGAGGTTGGGAGCCTGTTCCACGCCTGCATCTGTCATTTGCAAAGGCAATATCATTTGCAAAGTCAGAACCATTCAGGGCACATCCAGGGTGCCTGTGGGAGCACCGGGATGGGTAATGAATCCAAACTCACTTTCCGGCTTGCTCACATGACAAATCGTCTGGTACAGTGATGAAGAGAAATGAAGACAGGCTATATCCCCTCTGTGCACATTCCAGTTAATTTCCCAGAAGCAAGCGCTAGTAATGCAGGTTCCAAGCACAGAGTTGTCTAGGGTGACAAATGAAGAAGCAGTGGGATTTTTGTGTTTTGGTCAGGTGGGGGAGGGTAAAAGATATGAGTTTGATTTTCTGCCCCCCCACCCCCAGCAAGTGAGCAGAACAAGAAGAAACTATATGGGTAAGAAACTTCCCCTTTCGAAGGAACCAATGCAAAGACTAAGTTTGACACCCTGAAAGGTGTTTAGTATGCTAACAAAATGCTGCATAATGTGGCTTCAGAGCACTGATGGAATTGATAAAAGAAATCTGGGCCATCCTGCTGTGCTGGATACCCCTGCTGTGCAGAGCAAGGCAGCTAATATATTATAGAGCTTGATGAAAAGGGGGAGTAGGTCAGCCACGTGGGCTCAGAGCTGCCAAGGTCTCTGAAACTGTGAAAAGTGATGCAGTTTGATCCTGCCACCAACTGGCTGGGTGATTTGAGTAAATCTTTGTCTTATCTTTCTGTGCCCTGAAAGAGGATAGTTTCTAGTTGATTAATCACTTTGCAAATACAATGTGCAGACACCAAATATTGAATAAATGCTATGGCTGAGAATCTGAGAAAATGTTATGGCAAAGATCTTTCAAAGCTTATAAATAACAATGGACTGTAAGGACCTAGGGAGAGTATTAAGGACCAAGGGAGGGTAGTAAGGACCGAGAAATGAAAGAACAAATGTACTAGCTAATGGGTGTTTTGGGAAAGACATTGCTGGCTGGCTTGTGAGGTTGCCATGCTACCATAACTCATCATCAATGGGCTGCTCAACAAGCTCTTGGTGATGTAAGTTAGGTAGAGAAAGGACGGCTGATAGAAGTGTGTGAGCATGGAGACCAATGATTCCACCAGTTGTCCTGATGCCAGGAGATAACTCCATCACTGGGTCTCCTGCAGACACAGCATTTATGTTAAGTCTATGCTTCACATACACATAGAAACACTATGATCATTACTCTGGATGCCAGAACAGAAGGAAGGGAACTCCTGGAATTGAGCTGACAGATGTCTGCAGGGAGTGGGGAGTGGGGTGGTTTCATACTCCTCCTTCTAAGAGGGCAGGTGGCTGGTTGTTAAGGCTAGCTGATGTTAAAAATATGTTTAATTTAACAAGAGACTTTAAACTAGTAATAAAATAAGTCTTAATGTTTCCCTATTTGTTTATAGTAAAACCTAACTCTAACCATAAGGAAGTTACTTTATCTAAATTAAAAATAATTTCATGAGTAGATTCATTCATCCTTCCCACCATCAATTCAACAAGTATTTATTGAAATCATAAAGGCATGTCTCTCTTTAGAAACTATGTGAGTGATACAAAATACATAATCAGTGACCTCATAAGGTGGTATCTTGAATTTCATCTCCACTATGATCTATTGTTATTATATTTGTGGACATGATTTTCATTTTATAGAAACCAACAAGGACCTCCTTAATTACCTTCTAAGTTCTCTAGACTTGACATTCCTCTCCAGATCTTCCTTCCTTCCTTCCTTTTTTTTTTTTTGAACTCACAAATTGAGTTTGTTTAATAGCAGAAATGACAGAAATGAAACTTTTTTTTTTTAATGACTCGGGAAAACCAAGCCTTACAATGGCTTGGGAAAACTATTTCTGGGTTCATCAAGTAGGATTCCAAATTTTAAGAATTGTGATAGACCAGAATATAATTACCATTTAAGCTTCTATAAGGTCTATTTAGTAATGGTCCTCCCAGTGGAGAATAAAATCACAGTGTTTTTAGTGGGTCTTATATCCACTTAGGACAGAGGGAAGGAGAACTCAAGGACTCAGCCTGAATCTCAGTTACTACAGAACAAGCTGCTTGATTTATCTTTTTTCCTCCTATACAATAACTTGAATTTTGTAGAATTTTTATAGATTAAAAATTGATTCCATATATTTTTACTTATGGCAACTCTCTAAAGTAGGTATTATTTCCATTTAAATAGATAAGGATAGCCTTATTATTATTATTATTATTATTGGTTATTTACCATAGTTTCTAAATTCTACCAAAAAACTTTCATATACTAATCTTATATCATTCTGAGTCTTATATTCATGTGATATAGACAAGATATACAGCTATAACCCTCATTTAATCATTACAAAAGGTTCTTATAATTAGTAAGAGGCACAGATGGGCATTGTCAGAGGCCTGGACAGCCAGTGGAGCATCTATCACCCCACCACATTGTCCAGTGGCAAAGGTGAGGTGGGTGATGGTGGTGAGGGGGGTTGAAAACTGGGTCATTTATGAACATAGATGATATGGAAAGTCCATGGCTATGCCAGACATAGGAGTGGCTCTAATTTCATCATCTTGGAGCAATAGCAGAAAGAGAGGAAGAAAATGATATGTGGAACAAACATTTGCAAGTAATAGTGCTGCATAAATCCCCAAACCTTACAAAGTTTGCTAAGTAGGGAGCCAGGTAATATATAAAATTCCTATAGTATCCATACAATAATGGTGGGGGAGGCATACTTATACAAAAAAATTATTTGTTTATCTGGAATCCAAATGTAACTGGATATCTGTATTTTTATTGGTTTAATCTGTTAGTCTTAAAGAAAAGATAAGCCAATCTTCAGCCAGTTGCTCACATCACTATTAAATATACACATCAACACAATGGTGACAATAATCCACAAATAGTCATTGTAACGGGAGACCTCCACTGAGATAATGTCCTATTTTCTCTGAGTAGCCTAAAGTTAGTTTTAAGTATTTCTAAAACTCTCCAATTTGGAAGATGATACATTATACAATGGTTAGCTAATGCTGATCTATGGCTCTGAACTAGTAATTTGGTCCAGACTGTTCCTCTGTGCCACACTTCTCCCTAGATGGCACTGGACTAAGTGTCCCACATCCGGCTCTGGTACCATGTTTACCACACTTATTATTCAAATAGAAGAATCACTTACTTGTATGGGATGTGTTTGCTGCCATTGACGAGAGCGAGGATGACATTGCCCAGTGCAGACAATGAGAGGCACAGCCCTGAACCTCCTTCTCGATTTTTGCTAAGAGCTTTCACACAGCTGCCAAGATCAATGAGATGCAGGCGACTACGACCTCCAGACACTATCGTGGGAGAGAAGCAAAAAGAAGAGAGAATAAGTGAGTTACAGCAAACACTTCTTCATGCAGTTCTTTGGGAAATCTGAGAAGAAAAGGGGAAAGAAAAGGTTGACATTCATGATCTAGTGGAAATCCCAACAAAATTATACTGGATTACAAATAGCACAGGTCCTCTTAAATTCTGTCTACTTCAATCACTGACCTTCCAAAACCTGATATTCATACTATAAACAAATGAATAATTCTAGCAGGTTGGATTGGATGACGTTTTAGAAAAAGAAAATGTCTAATTAAAGGAGAAAAAAGGTTTATACCTCAATGTCCTCTGGATAGCAGAATTCTGAAACCCATCATGTTAAAATCTTATTGGCCCACAAGTGATTGTCTACGTTAGTCAATCATTGTAGAGATCCCAACCCAAAGTTCAGCCATGAATCATGTTGATAACCCAAGTAAAATCCAGAAGAAGTAAGAATTAGGTATAGAGAGAGTGAAGACCCAAATATTTGCTGAGCATCTGCCAATTGCCAGGTACTACACAAACCACAGTCTCATTCAGTTTTCATGGTAAAATTATAAATAAAATACTATTATCCTTTTCTATAGATGACAACATAAAACTCAGAAAAATTGGAAAATTTGCCCATGAGTATTTCTGCTTCTGGCTTAGAAGAAATAACAAGGACCAGATTGGTTCTCTTATTTGAAACAACCAAAAAATGAACAAAATGTATAAAAGGATTGTTTGTAAGACATTAGACATCAAGCAGCAAAGAACAATGGTCCCTGAGAAATGGGGAGCTAAGCAAGGCAAATACTACCTATATCTCAGCATATTGCTTTGAGAGAGTTTCCAGGCATGGCTCAGGGAGAGGGGATTCAGGTGGAACCTGGTGGACTCCCTGAGTTGAGGAGAGAGGGGAGGCCAAGGCAATAATTTACTGGACAGTTGGAAAGGAGAGAACTCTAGAGACTTAGAGAAGGTCCCTTGTGTATTCAACTGAGTACTGATCAGCAAATGCATATGAGGAAAGTACCCACAGCCAGGGAACTGACCATCTGAAGAGAATAGAGGTTATAGTGCACAAGGCTGCAAAAACTGTTTTTCTCCCACCAGCCAGCCTGGGAAACCTCAATATTCAAAGGATTTAGGTAGAGTACTCAGAAGGGTCTTGCTTCAGTAATGAGGGACATTTAGTGCTAGATTTAGCACAGACCTGATTCCATCTAACAAATATTAAAAGCAAAACCATTAAGGATCAAACTCTTTCCAAGTAATCAACTACATCCTCAAATAGAGCTTAAGAATATTTACAAGGTTCAAAAATATCTAGCAGCCAACAAGGTAAATCCAAATGCCTGACACCTAATAAAAAAAAATAACTAGGCATACAAGGAAGCAGGGAAATGAGATTTATAATGAAGGGATAATTGAAACCAACCCAGAATGAGCATAGGTGTTAGAATTGACAGAGAGAGCTATTAAAACAGTCATTAAAACTTATTTCAAATGTTCAAAAAGTTAAGCAGAGACATGGGATATGTATTTTTAAAAAGACAAAATGAACCCCTAGAGATGAACACTGTAATGTGTGAGATGAAAAACATATGGGATAGAATAGCAGATTAGACATTGTAAAAGGAAAGATGAGTAAATTTGAAGATTTAGCAATATAAATTCTTCAAAAGGAAATACACAGAGAGAATTTAAAAGTTAAAAACAAACAAAAAACAGGTAGACAAGAAAAAGAGCTGTAGTATTTCAAGTATCCAAATATATGTAACTGGAATTCCTGAGGGAGACAGAGTATGTTACAGATGAAATACTTAAAGAAATAATAGCTAAAACTTCCCTAAATTTGATTAAAACCATAAACCCACAGATCTGAGAATCTCAATCAGCTCCAAGCACAATAAACATGAAGAAAACTACAGAAAGGCACATCATAATCACACTGTTCAAAACCAATGATCAAGAGAAAAACTGTAAAAACAGCCCGAGGAACAAAAATATATTATATACAAAGGAACAATGATAAGTATGATGGTACATTTCTCACTGGAAATAATACAAGTGAGAGGATGGTGCAGCAATATTTTTAAAGGACTACAAATTGTCAAACTCAAATTATTCACCAATAAAAAGGATCACTTCAAAACAAAAGGAAAATAAAGACATTTCTAGACTTTAAAAAGCTAATAGAATTCACCAAAGGCATACCCACAAAAGATAAACAAAGGAACGAAAAGCTTTGGGAATAAGCACATGGTTAAATACATGTTTTTATTATTATTAAATCTCTTCACAAGATAATTATTGGGCTGGAGATATAGCTCAGTTAGTAGAGTGCTTGCCTCCCATGCTCAAGGCCCTGGGTTCAATCCCCAGCAAAACACACACACACACACACACACACACACACGCACACACACACACCATAATTATTAAAAGAAAATAACAATGTAACATATGGGTTACATCAAAGGATATTAGGTAGAGTACTCAGAAGGGTCTTGCTTCAGTAATGGGAGACACTTAGTAGTACTGGATTGAGCACAGACCTGGTTCCATTTAACAAACATTAAAAGCAAGACCATTAAGGATCGAACTATTTCCAAATAATCAATTTCCTCAAACAGAGCTTAAGGATATTTACAAGGTTCAAAAATATCTATCAGCCACCAAGATAAATCCAAATGTTTTACAGATGAGGTGTGTCCCCCAAAAGTTCATTTGTGAGACAATGCAAGATCCGGTAAAGTGATTGGATTATGAGAGGCCCAATCTAATCTGTGATGAATACGTGGAGATGAGTTAACTGAGCAGTAATTATAGACAGGTAGGATGTGGTTGGAGGAAGTAGTTCTCTGGGGGTGTTCCTTTGGGGCTTATATTTTGTCCTTGGTGAGCAGGGCTCTCTCTTCTTCCTGGCTATCATGTCCTAAGCTGCTTTTCTCCTCCATGCCCTTCTGCCATGAAGTTCTGCCTCACTTTGGGCCCTGAGCTATGGAGTTGATTCACCATGGACTGAACCTCTGAAACTATGAGCCAAAATAAACTTCTCCTCCTCTATACTGTTCTTAAGAGATCTTTGGGTCACAGCAATGAAAAAACTGACTTAAACAATATATGTAAAGTTAAAAATTTTTGACAACAATAGAACAAAGATCTGAGTGGAGAAATGGAAGTATACTAATGTAAGGTTCTTATTCTATACACCAAGTGGTGTAACATCACTGGAGAATAGATGGCAGCAACTTAACAATAACACTGCAAACCCTAAATAGCACTAAAACCAAAGAGTTACAGCTAATAAACCAAAAAGAGACATACAGCAAAATCACTAAAAGTGTTTAATAAATCCAAGAGGTGACAGATAAAAAGAAAAGAACAAAGAACAAATGAGACAAATGGAAAACATAGAAAAGCAGTACTTTGCATAAAACCTTATCAATAATCACATTAAGTATAAATAGTCTGCATACTCTTATTAAAAGGGAGAAATTGTCAGACAAATAAAAATGTGTGATTTTATTATATGCTTCCTATAAAGAAATGCACTTCAAATATAAATAAGCAGTAGATTAAATTGCATAAGTAAAGGAAAAGCAAACATTAACCATAAGAGAGTTGGAGTGGATACACCAATATCAGCAAAGGAGACTGAAGACAAAAAAAAAAATGTTCTGTGAGGCAAAGAGGAACATTTCATAATGACAAAGAGGGCAAGCAAGAGGCCAGGACACAAACTGTTTATGTACCTAAGAGCAGATGTTCAAATATATGAATGTCTTCCTGATAGAACCATAGGAAGAAATAGATAATTAGAGTTGGAGAATTCAAATACCCATTTCTCAATAACTGATATAACTAGTAGACTGAAAACTATTCAAGATACAGATTTGAACAACTTGTCCTTTATGTAACACTCAACAGCAGAATACACATTCTTCTAAAGGGCACATAAAACATTTCCCAATATCTACCATATTCTGGTCCATAAAACAGATCTAAATAAATTTTAAAGGATTCACATTACTCAGTGTGTTCTGTGACACAATGGAACTACATGAGCAGTGACTGTAGAAAGGTAACTGGAAAATCCCCCAATATTTTGAAACTCTACAACTCAGCCAAATAACTGATGGCCAAAGAAGACAACAAAATGGAACTTAAAAAGTGTTTTGAGGTGAATAAAATGAAGATGCAATATGTCTAAATTTGTTAGCTTCCCCTAAAGATGGACTTAGGGAAAAAGTTATAGCATTATATACCTATATGAAACATAACAGGAGGTCTCAAATCAATGATTTCAACTTCCACCTCAAGAAGTTAGAAAAAGATGAGCAAATTAAAGAAAAAATAAATAGCAGAAAAGACATAATTAACAAAAAGGCAGAAATCAATGAAATAGAAAACCAATAATTAATGGAGAAAAATCACTGAAACCGAAAGCTGGTTCTTTAAGAACAATGAAATTGATGAATCTCTACCTAGCACAACTGATGTGGAAAGAAGACCTGAACTGTCAGTGCAGGAATGAGGGAGATGGGCTCATCTATAGTTTCTATGGGTATCAGAAGGATAAGAAAGAAATAGTACTCATTCAATTAGACAACTTGGAAGAATGGGCAAATTTCTTGAAAGATAAAAAATATCAAAGAATATTAGAAAATATAAATAAATAGCCCTGTATCCATTAATGAAATAGAATCTATAGTTAACAACCAGTCCACAAATGGAAACTTTTAGGACCAGATGGATAAACTGGTGAATTCTACTAAACATTTAAAGAAGAAATAATACCAATTCTACTCAAACTCTTCCTGAAAATGAAATAGGAGGGAATACTTCCAAAGGTATACTATGGGACAAAGATTCTCCTGACACCAAAAACCTACACATACATACATACATACACACACACACATAAAACTGTAGACCAAGATCTAGAGAAGTTTCTAGAGAATCATATTTTTAAAGTTGTATTTAGCAACATATA